CCTCCCAAGTAGCTGGGACTACAGGCGCCCGCCACAACTGCCTGGCTGTTTTTTGGTTGCAGCCGTCATTGTCGTTTGGTGGGCCGGGCTGGATTTGAACCCGTCAAGCTCAGTTGTATGTGGCTGGTGCCTTAGCTGCTTGAGCCACAGGCGCTAAGCCGGCTTTTTTTTTTTTATACAATGTTTATTTTTACCTTGTTATATTTTTATGTTGCATTCAGTGTAAATCAAAATGAAACAAAAATCTGTTTAATTGGCTCAGAAAAGGGCCATGTAAAAAGAAAAATAATTGGGTAAAATTTTACCAATAGAGAATTTGGATTTAGAGGGATAGATTTGAGTTAAAGTCCCATGGAAACTACTTTGTAATTCAGGATATATGGGTTTTGTATGTATGTACCTTATCAAATTATTATTGCATTTAGATTGAAATAAGGATTAAAATTGCATTAAAATAGATCCCTGAATATTCCTCTTTGTGAAACTTAACTTTTTGTGTGCCACTTAAAAATGTTACCTATAAATCAGTATTTGGGAAAATTTTTCGTTCTTAACCTGTTAATGTTAAGGAATAAAGTATAAAATATTAAACAAACAAACAAACAAAAAAGATGGCAGTAACTTCTAAGACAGTGGCTCTCAACCTTCCTAATGCCTCCTAATTCCACAACCCTTTAATTCAGTTCTTCATGTTGTGGTGACCTCCAACCATAAAATTATTTTTGTTGCTACTTTGTAACTGTAATTTTGCTACTAATATGAATTGTAATGTAAATATCTGATATGCAGGATGTATTTTCATTGTTACAAAGGGGTCGCAACCCACAGGTTGAGAACTGCTGTTCTAAGACAATATACAGACTCAGGGTGATGCCTGTTAGAATAGAACTTGCCTTTGTAGAGATTATGGGAAACATCTTTTTTTTTCCCCTGAAAGTTCACTGAAAGATTAATTTACAATTAAGGCAGATTAATAAGAGAAATGTTTATTGCTAACCACCATGCGCATGGGGAGAATCACTGAGTGATTACCCAGTGTCTCAATGATGGTCAGATACCTTTATAGATGCCTTTTAGAAGGGTGGGGGAGAATGTGGAGTTTGGGTGCAATAAGTGGTTGTTGGAGAGGATGAATAAATGGGGAAACCAATTGACTTGTAAATTAACCCGAAAGACAGGTAGTGTATTTTAAATGATTCTCGAGCCTTGTCTGCTAGTCTTCAGGGGGAGGAAAGGAAGCCAGTTGTCCTCCTTTGAGCTTTTGATGAGATCAACCAGGTTTTATGTAGATAGAGAGAGAGCCTCTTTTAAATGTTTTCTGATTTTCAGTGGTCTTTAATTCAAAGTTTTTTTTTATATTAAGTAGTCATATTTTGGTGTGAAATTTTTTTATCTTCTTTATTCTCTCTGTGTGAAGCTTCCTTGGGCGTTCAACATATTAAAAGCTGAGTCAGTCGCAGTGGAGAGAAGAAATTGGGTTAGTAGTCTGGTGACAAGAGATCAGAAAAGAGAGACAAGAACATAAATGAGAATGAGAATGAATAAGTAGAAAAGAACAGATCTAAGCATATTTTTTCTATGTTTTATTAAGCTAGTCTTTTATTCTTGAAAATAGGGTTTATTAATTTGATGGAGAATATTTATTTGGCCTTTTAAGAAGTGTAGATTACAGTCTTTATTTGTCTTGAGTGGCAAGCATTTTTATTAATAATTACATAATTTTTTTTGTGTTAGGCTGTTATGGTATTTAGGAGGCAGAAGTTTTCAAATATAACAGGGGCTGGGTCCTTGTTGACTTTTACTTAATTGTTTGTTTGTTTATTGTTTGAGCTAATTTATTATTATTGTTGTTGTTGTTGTTGGGGATTCATTGAGGGTACAAAGAATCAGGTTACATTGATTGCATTTGTTAGGTAAAGTCCCTCTTATTTTTTATTTTTTTTAACAGAGCTTCAAGCTGTCACCCTGGGTAGAGTGCTGTGGCATCATAGCTCACAGCAATCTCTAACTCCTGGGCTCAAGCGATTCTCCTGCCTCTGCCTCCCAAGTAGCTGGGACTACAGGTGCCCGCCCCAACACCTGGCTATTCTTTGGTTGCAGCCGTCATTGTTGTTTGGCAGGCTGGGGCTGGATTCAAATTCACTAGCTCAGGTGTATGTGGCTGGCACCTTAGCCACTTGAGCCACAGGCACTGAGCCTAAAGTCCCTCTTATAATTGTGTCCTGCTCCCAAAAGATATGTCACCTTAGGCCTCTGTGTCAGGGAGGTGAGGGAGGGGATAACCAGAGAGTCAGGTATGGGCATATAGGCATAATTCTAGGAAACACTAAAACTCCTGGTTCCCATTTGCAGTTTGTTCATTTAAGTATCTCCCTCAGCAACTTAATGGTCGGCATAACTGAGCCAAGCCCAGATTTCAGCTTTTCTGACAGACTTCTCTTGTAATGTATCCCTTTGATACCAAAGTTAACACTGATTTCCAACAGGCCAAAGACAAATGTTTTTAAAGGACATAATTAGTTTTACTTTGGCTTTTAGCTTACTTTTCAGAACTCTGTCAGAAAAGCTGAAATCTGGCCTAAGGAGGCTTCTCCTTAAGGTGGAATCCCAAAAATTATGAGTCATGCTCCGTAACTCCTCGACAGTTCTTTGGTCATAGGAGAATAAGGCAGCTGGCCAGGCCCACCACCCAGGTTGAGAGTGTACCAGAAAAAAGCCAGAGTAAAGGAACACACACCCTTACCACTTTAGCAGGAGGTTGGGCTGTATGGCTCCATAGGACCCTTCCTTGGCAGCCACATGAGAGAAGATGAGTGGTGGCTGGATCTGTCTCAGATGGGCCTCTCCTGTGCTTCCCATTACTTCCACCTCCTTGAAGCAGAAAAGAATACCCTAAAAGTCCCACCCATTTTGAGGCACTTAACTGACAGTGACCACCCTCCACACCTCTCCCTCAACCTCCGAACAACAAGGTGACAAAAAAAAATCACCTCCCCCCAACTGGGTCCTTAAATCTCAGCCCCAAAGATTAGTACTGTGTACAGTCTCAGCCAAAAGAATGCATTTTCCCAAAGTTGAATGTTTGAGAAAGAGGTTATATTTTGAAGAGCTCACATGATCACTGCCAAACGTGTAAAAACAACTCAATCAGTAAGAAAAGGGCTAAGCTGGTTTGCACGTAACATCTGAACAAAAGAGCCCCAGAAACTTAGTGTTTTAAAAGGGAAGGCCATCCTGCTTTGGGGGAAGCAAGACACCGCCTTGAAGTCACGTGATCACACAATACCAACAAGCCACACTCTGAGTTCACATATTTGAGTTAAAAGTTGCAGCAAGATCCTCCGAGTATAGAGCCAGAACTGTGAGTACCCACGATGCGTTGGCACTGGAACTGTGCCCTTGCAGTGGACACACCTGCATTGCAGTGATAAGAGTAAGGACTGCCTCATGGATGGTCTCTGTAGATTCTCACTGCTCCCCCTTAGCCCACATGCTAGGCCTACTGTAAATTTCAAATGAAGGAATGCATCCTGGTGCTGAAAGAGATCTGGGGCTGCCTCTTGCCTCTCGACAAGTAGGGGAGATAGTCAGGCTGTATAGATGGGGTATATCTAAACCACAGGTGACGGGCATTAGAATGGCCTTATCCTGGATTGAGGTCTGCAGCAACGACAGGTTGTAAGGAATGAAATGACTCTCATGTGTAGGCCTGGTGCGGGTGAATCAAGGGAGCAAATGGGTAATCACCAAGGCACAGAAACACTAGTGTCTTAAGAAGTAAGTGTCACGATGAAATCACGCAGCTTATGCACGTCACATTTAGACGGAGCAGTGCAAAATGGCACAGTTACTATGAAACAAAAATGGGGGTGGGAGGCGGCGAGGGGTGAAAGGGATACTCATTTTTATGTTGAATTGGTTTTTAAGCCAGCTTAGTCCACTATTCTGATTCTATGAAAGTGTACTTGGAAATAAGCATTTGGAATACAGTTAACTTTCAGTCACTACATTTCTACGGTGGCAACAAGGTAACATACAACACAGAACCGGGAACAATGTCTTTTATTTCTCCCCAATCCAAAGGTGGATCCGTGAAGTTCGACAGCCGGCAAAAAGTCACTTGGTTAATGTGATTCACCATCAGATCCCCTGTCCTGAGGGGGAGATGGTTTCTTGCAGAACGAGGTGAAGGAGGTGGTTCTGCTCTGCAGTCATCAGCGGCCACATGTCCACCTGCAGCGCTTTGATGGCTTCCGTGTCCTTCTCCTGGGTAGCCATGACCAGGGACTGGAGCAGCAGAAAGAGCTCCTCGGGCAGCTGGCCTCCGCTTTCCTGCCCGTGGCTGTCGAAAGCCTCCCAGGAGTACTTCTCCAGGGTCTGGGCGTGCTCTGGCAGCAACTTGGCGGGCGGTGGCTGCAGGAGCAGTAGCAGCAGCACCCGAGACACCTCGCAGCGGACCAGCACGTCCGAGAAGGCGCCCAGGGTGGCGGCCGAGGGCGCCGCAGAGCCGGCGTTCGGAGGGAGCAGCGCGGCGGGCAGGGCGGGTGTCGCGCCGAGCAGGGGCT